AGCAAGAGAACATGGACACAGAACTTGGCTGGAGATTGTGGCTAGAGATCCTGGCAAGGCTGCTGATCAACTGAACGCTGTCTCCGTGTCATTCCTTCTTCGCCGACTCTGTCCATACCTTTGGGGACCCCTGGACCTGCTGGGGGTTGGACCCCAGCACTCCCTAAAGTCATTAAAAATATTTTTTAAATAAATGTGGGTGTTTTTTCCCAAAGCAGCTCATAAGGGTGGTCACATCTTCCAATACTGCCATTTTGTTAAGTAAAATTTAATTTTAAAAAACTAACCAATCAACAAACTTGCTAAATACTGAGCATTATGTTTAAAGAAAAGCATTTCCTGGAGTATTTTAAGCTACATATGGATCTTACAAAACAGATGAAATAATTTTTCTTACTTTCAATAATCATGCTATCAATAACATTTAGGAATAAGTAATTTATAACTATCATTTATCTGAAAAATATTACCTAAATATTCTAATATGAGGAAATATTAAAATATATATATAATCATATTAAAAGAAAATAGCTTGAATCACTTATTCACAAGTTACTGGCTAACAACAAATAACTGCAATGTTAACAGCTCTTAAGAATTCATAGAGGGGGAAAAAAAAGCAATAATTTGGAAAAGCAAAACTAGAAATAAAAGAACTGCCGAAACCGGTTTGGCTCAGTGGATAGAGTGTCGGCCTGCGGACTGAAAGGCCCCGGGTTCGATTCCGGTCGAGGGCATGTACCTGGGTTGCGGGCACATCCCCAGTAGGAGATGTGCAGGAGGCGGCGGATCGATGTCTCTCTCTCATCGATGTTTCTGACTCTCTATCTCTCTCCCTTCCTCTCTGTAAAAAATCAATAAAATATATTTAAAAAAAAAAAAAGAAATAAAAGAACTAGTACATATGAACTGAGCAAGGCAAAGAAGTAGTAAACAACACAGGCAAAAAATATCCACATTTTAGGAATAGCAGTATGGAAATTATCTGAGGCCTACCATGACTGTGCTTTGGTCAAGGTGGAGAGAGCACTGAAAACAAAATATGAGGAAATTATAAGCTCAAGTTGCTTACTTATGAAAGGATTTCCTTTTTCTTATATTACACTATAGTGTCACTGAATCATAAGGAAATAAAATTAACTCAGTGAAGTAAATTCCAAAACAACTAGTCTTTATTTCCGTTTGAAAAGATCTCATTATTTCTATACATAGCTTGGTCCTATTGAAGCATTTCAGTATCTAAAAGTACTGAATTGCTAATATCCAACAAAGAAGCCATAATAATGGTTTGCTGAGCATCATGATCAGTATAATTTTTTCAAACAAACTATCATGCCCTTAAAAAAAAGGAAATCCACATTTTTTCTTTTTAAATATGTTTTTGTTGACTTATTATTATTATTTAGAGAGAGAGGAAGGGAGAGGGAGAATAAAATAGAAATATAAAACAGCTGCCTCTGGCAAGTCCGCTGCTGGGGATAGAGCTCTGTAACCTGGGCATGTGTCCTGTCTAGACTCGAACTGGTGCACTGGATGACACTCAACCACTAACCCACATTGGCCAGGCAGGAAATCCACATTTTAAAACTAAATCCAAAATAACCTGAAACAACTGTTTAAACTTTCCCCAAAAATGGAAGTATAAGGCCAAGAACTTATAAAAATTCTATATTTCATTATTTTAAAAAAACAACCTTACAATTGAAAAGATTTTTTAAAGTTATCGTATGTTATACAAGCATCTTATTTTCGCAGCCACAATCTTGTATGAGATTTGGGGTTTTTATTGTTACTGCTGTTCCTTCATAAAGTAGCTATAATATGAACAAACTAAACCAATTATCAACTGTAAATCAAACTTTTATGTGTTCTACACTTATTCCCCCTATGGGTCACTGATTTATGATAAAGATTAAATGAAGAGAACTATCAGTCCCAAATAAGTATTTTTATTCGATCACTGAAGGAAACACACAGAATGTAAATCTTTTCCTCAAGTCACCGGACAGGGACTGGAAGAAAAGGATGACACACACAGAGAAATTTTCTAAGATCTAAGTAATAGAGATGGGAGAAGGAAGAAAGGGAATTAACCTAAGTCATCCCTGGTTAGGAAAATGAAAGATAAAGAGATTAAATCTGCCAATTTTATACACCAGCTCCTTGACAGAAACAGTGGCCTAAAGACAGTCCATCCCTTGGGATTAGTGGGTTATCTGTAATCTTGGGGTTGCTGGGAAAATAGAATGGCATATAACCTGCCTATTAGGCATGCAAGGGCATGTTTACAAGGGAGGTATTCTTAATTCAAAACAGGCTTATTAGGGTAGAAATCACTAGATTCCTCCCATTTCCAGGTCTTTAACTTGTCTTATCAAACCTCCCAATAAACAGTTCTGCTTAGGGTAACTACAAAATCCTAAAAATACTCTCCTCCGCTCTTCAGTAATTGCTCCCAAACCACACAAAGTAGTTGTAGGGAGCACAGGCAATTCCCTACGCCCAAACCAATAGATCAATGGTTCTCAACCTTGGCTGCACATTAGAATCACCTGGGAATCTTTTTAAAATCCTGATTTCTGGGCCTCATTCCACACGCGCCCCAATCTGGTCTGTGCGTGGAACCTGCAACCCTGGTATCCACCCTTGACTGGAAATCGAACCCACGATCCTCGGTGCATGGGCCAATGCTCCAACCACTAAGACACACCAGCCAGGGTCAATTAATTTCATTAAAAATTTTTTTTCTTATAATGCAAGTTTACAAATTAATTCACCGCCATTATTAAAGATTTGAATTACACAAAGGCTACAGGATGAATTGTGAAAATCTCTTTCTAAAGGGGAGATAACCAACATTAATTCAATGCACATTGTCCCAATCTTTCAGCTATAAATGAACCTACATATATATATATGGCTTTAAAGGGCTTTTTAAAAACACATAAATTGGATGATACTGTATATATTGTTCTGTACTTGTTTAATTAAAATGTTGACATCGCCGAAACCGGTTTGGCTCAGTGGATGGAGCGTCGGCTTGCGGACTGAGGGGTCCCAGGTTCGATTCCGGTCAAGGGCATGTACCTGGGTTGCGGACACATCCCCAGTGGGGGATGTGCAGGAGGCAGCTGATCGATATTTCTGACTCTCTATCTCTCTCCCTTCCTCTCTGTAAAAAATCAATAAAATATATTTAAAAAAATAAAATGTTGACATCGTTCTATGTCAGTACAACACATCTACCCAATTCTATTTAATGGCTGCATACCAGTATATAATAGCCATATTTTACCTAACCATTTCCCTACTGAGATGTTCCTACCTCTTTGAAATTATGAACAATACTGCAATTAAAGTTATACACATCAACTAAATATCTGTCATAAAACAGTCAATACTACTATAATTGTAGAGGCACATTCAACAGGTAAGACCCCTTTAGAAGATGAAATATTATGAGATAAAATTTTCTACATTCCTAAAAACAAAGAAAAAATTGTAGAGTGACACAATGAAGAATTTCAATTATTTACGTGTTTTCTAATTGTTTAAAAATATTTTTTCTATTTACAAATGCTGGTTTAAGTGTCCCCTAGTTTGTTGGAAATATATATTGCCACTGGAAGGAGCTCTACAACACCTCTCCCTGCACATTTAACAATCTGGAACTCTAAGCACTATTTAAACCCTGACACCTCTAGTTATACTATCCTTCACAGTCGACTTATGTCATCATCTTTCCTGGGAAAAATCATGCACTTTCCGCTCACAAATCTTCAAACGTTAAATCTCTCCCACTTCTCTCTGAACAATCATATCAAACCAGTTTTCCATTATCTTCCCAAGCCAGCTTTTACTCCTATATCCCTGACACCCTTACAGTGAGGTCCATCCACCCATTTCAGATTCACTTGCAAAACAGCCCTTCCAACAGCTGACCAATCTTGTTAATTCATAGTTTGTCTAACTTTCCCCCAGATATTTTTCTAAAGTCTAGAATCTAGACTATTCTCAAATTACCATTTCTCCCTTCCCAGATTCTTTCTCATTTTTGGCAGATTCTCACTTTATAGAACCGAAGTCTTCATCTTCATCTTAACAGCATAATACATGATGTACCCTTATCCTTCCTTATAAGCTCAAAACAGAAAACATATTCTACATATCTGAACCAGCCTCTCCTACTCATAACTGTTGATAAGTATGGAGGAGAGATTGTTCTGTCCTATAAGCTGGACCCAGACGGCTTTCTGCAATCCCCCCTTACAGACTATCTGATCGTAATTAATGTTCACTCTGACATCAATCAGCACCCCTCCCTTGCCTCCTGTTATGTATTGGTCCTGGAACAGATTGTTGTCCTCGTCAATGTAATTTCCTTACCTGCTAACATTCATATACTAGGTACCTGTTACTATCTCCACACCATTTCTACCCTATATAATTCTCTGGTGCCTGCCAAGTGGCACAGGGATCCAAGACATGTCGCATATGTAAGTTTCCCTTAATAAACTCTATTAATTAACAGATTGGAGTGGCCCGTATCTTTCTTTAGTCTTTCCCTGCCCTCCACTTATGTAGATTTTCAGTCCTGTGGTTTTTCCCTGGGTCTATGTGTCCTAACATAAGTAATTCTTCAACTTTGTAAATACAGAACTTTTTAAAAATATATTTTATTTCAGAGAGGAAGAGAGATTGAAGCATCAATGATGAGAGAAAAGCATTGATCTGCTGCCTCCTGCCCACCTCGAACTGGGGATTGAGCCCTCAAGCCACGTATGTGCCCTGACTGGGAATCGAACCATGACCTCCTGGTTCATAGGTCAGTGCTCAATCACTGAGCCACACTGGCTGGGCTAAATACAGAACTTTTTGTTAACATCAAAATATTTTGAGGATCCTATACAATAGTGGGTTGAATTTTTATTATCTAACTTTTATTCAAATTATAATGCTTAGAACATGAATTGACCAATGAATGCTCCATAACAAGTTCACAGCTCATAAATCAAAGACCACAGCTCTAGAACTCAACTTTTCAACTCTATCAGAAATCTCAGTTCCACAACACTCCCTCCTTTGTTAGTATACTTGCCCTCCTCCTCAACACAAATTCAGGTCCTTCTGCCTTCATATATGCAACATCTCTAAGGATTTTATTATAGCCCAATGCAATTAACTTCTCTCTACAGTATTAAACATGGATGACCTTCTTCTACATTTGCAGATTCTATCCAATGCAATACATACTACTTTGGAACTCTTTTGCCTTTAACCACAGGTCTTTGGCCTCTTTTCCTGGCACTTCTATTTCTTCTTTCAAACCCGCTGGCAATAGTTCTCAATTTATTTCTGACTCCATTGATTGTTGGGTAACATATGCCATCAATATCTTTTACAGTGTACTAGTTCTCTACCGGCTGGCACTATTACTCAACGTAAAAATCCTGCCCAATCATCTATAACATTCCTGGCCTAACCAGTTTCTCAATTTCTATTCATTCCACTTAGGGTTTGTAACATGGCAATGAACAGGGACTGTGTATTATCACCTACACCTGTTGCATGTGTATTCATTGTTTCCTCAAATCTGACAGCAATTCTGTAAAGGCAATTTCCTTGTTTTAGTCTTCCCTCCAAATCGCAGAGTGCCAAATATAAAGCCATCATTTCAAATATCTTATAACACTTTTGAGGTACCTGAAATGTAGTAAAAAATTCCAAGACCACAAAAAAAGAACACTATTTTGCAGATGCTAAATAGGGATGAAGTTAAAGAAAGGTTGCATAATTAAAGGTTTAAGAAATACTGGTTCCAGGTTAACAGGCTTATTTGTAGATCTTCTTAGATCCTTTAATCTCGCTAAGTGCAAATCTCCAAAAGCAGAATGTCCCAAACTTGTGTGTTATAAAACTCTTTCCTACCTTTTACTGCTCATTACCAGCAGTCAACTTACTAAATTCTCCCTTTCCAGGAAACACAATTGAGGAAATGCTTAGTAAGCAATTGATTAATTTTGTTTAACAACTACTTTATATCCAGTATGACTTCTAAGGATATGTTAATATTACTGGTTTTATGACTCATCCTAGCAGCACTCTCAGCATTCTTCAATTACCCCCAAAGTCATTAGACAGTATAATTACAAAAAACTTTTTAAGGATTCATTTCATGATACTTTTAAATTGCAGCTCCCTTACTGCTTTTTAAATATAACCTCACTTAGAAAAAGTCTATTTATATACACCATCATTTATTTTTAAAAAAACAGCAAAAACTGTTAAAAGATGTGGGTAGCTTCAGCAATGTGGGGCGTGGCCAGAGTGTTTTGGACAGGTTCAAGCCTTGGACTACTGAGAGAGCACAGTCCTCTCATTGCCACGTGCAAGTCCCAGCTTGGATGGCAGAGCCCTCCCAGCACAATTATAGCCAACAGCTATAGCTGTAAGCTTGAGCCTATGGTCCGTGCCTGAGTGATAAGTTCAGGTGCATGTAGTGGAGTAGTGTTGAAACCCACAGGAATATGGTAAACAACTTGATCACCCCCCTACTTTGCCTACTGGCACCTGCTATAAAATAAAGACACGGCTTGTGAGTGTCGTCGCTATCTCTCAGAAGCAGCGTCCCACTGAGACCCAGCTTTCCTTCTCATGTCTGTCTTTTCTTAATCCTTTCATCACCCACACTAAGGTTCACCCTTGGCCGTGCTGGCACAGCACAAGTGGTGCCCGAACAAGGACTGAGTTCTCGGACCAGGGACTGAGTTCTGGGACCAGGGACTGAGTTATGAGGAACAGGGCCTGAGTTCTGGCTCCCCACACAGCAAGTTGACAATTTCTCACCAAAGCTAAAGGTTAAAAAAAACACACACACTAAAAAAGAACAAAATGTATTCCAAAGAACCAAGAATAAGAGGAAGATAAAATAAATTTGGGACATAAACATGCTATTCTTCTCTGGGAAATTCATAACTCTTAGCACATTAAAGTTTCCAAGAAGTCCTCCAATTAAAAAAAAAAAAAAAAGACAGTTCAACATAGTTTAATCTGTTGCTCTCCAAATTTACTTTACCATGGAATCTTTTTTTTCCTTAAGCATATCACAGACTTATAGCCTTCATTCCTCTGCTTCAATATTATGCAATGTTGAAATAAAATAATCTTTTAGAAAAATCTGAATAGGCAGCAGGAAATCAGAAGGTAAACCTGAATTTTCCGACCTGATCTCATTCCCCACTCAATTTTTCTGTCTAAAAATTTTACTGCAATGACTAAGATATGGGAGGAAAATAAAGACAAACTTTTGTCCTAACAGTTAACCTTCATAATTAAAGGGAATAAATTCTAGACCTTATTCCAGATCATGCAAAGCTGTGGTCTGGATAGGATTAAAAGCAGGACCTCAAAAATAACTCAAATACTAGTTGTTTATTCTTTATAACCTGTTTCCTCAGCAATAAAACTTTGGAATGGGGACGTTGGCTAAGTGATATGCGACATCTAGTCTCCACCCTAAAAGCCTCACCCTAATTTACACCTTTCCTGAACCAGATCAGGGTTTTTCTTTTATAGTACACTAGAGGCCCGGTGCACGAAATTCATCCACCGGAGGTGGGGGTGTCCCTCAGCCCGGCCTGCACCCACTCCAATCCAGTACCCCTCGGGGCATGTCTGACTGCCGGTTTAGGCCCTTTCCCACAGGGCCTAAACCGGTCGTCGGACATCCTTCTGGCAGTCGGACATCCTTCTCACAATCCGGGACCGCTGGCTCCTAACCACTCACCTGTCTGATTGCCCCTAACCACTCTGACTGCCTCCTCTATCACCCTTAACCACTCTACTCTGCCAGCCTGATCGCTCCTAACTGCTCTCCCCTGCCAGCCTGATCACCCATAACTGCCTCTGCCTTGGCCACGGTGGGCCGTCTGGTCTAATTAGCATATTACCCTTTTATTAGTATAGATATTAGTATAGATACTTTGGCTTCCTTTTTTCCCTGGAACAAGATGAAGAAATTATCTACAACCAAATAGCCAGGTACTTAACTCAGTGCACACCTCATCATTCAGGGACAGTTAATTAGCAAGTGAAGCACATTGGGGATTAACCAGTTTACTACTTCACAGCTCCAAATTAAATTATGTGTTCTTGCAAACCACTCTACTATCTAAACAGAGCAAAAGTATATCTAATGCTAAAGTTAAAAGATAAAGTTAGATAAAGTTAAAAAAGTAAGATAAAGTTAAAAAACCTAATATTTAAAGGTTTTCTTTTTTGTTTTTTTAACCTACTCTAAATTTAAACATGCTCCTCTTTTTCAGAAGCTGAAATTTGTATAAAGTTTAATACAGGAAAAAGAAAACTAATGAGAACTTGTCAACTCCTGCTCAGTTCTTGCAAAAGGCTACAAAGAATAAGTTTCCCAGATAGTTTCAATTCCATGACAAGCATACCTCCCTTTCAAAAGTGTTACGTTTT